CCGTCAACAGAATAAATTTTGTTGAACTTGTTGAATCAAATGAAAGGAAGTTATCAGTTTCACATTGCTTGATTGCACCATCGTATGACAATGATTATTGTTCCATCATTTGTTGATGCTTTCTCATTTCATTGCAGGAAAAAGAAGCAGCCTTGTGTTATTAAACTTTAAATGCATAAACTGTTTGGGTTAGAATTCCCGCTTATAGCATTATTTGATTCCCATTATAAATTATCTTATTCACAACCTGATTTTCAAAGAGGTGCGATTTGATGATGTGCAATAGTGTGTTTTCACAACTAATTGCATTTCCCATAATCTCTCAACCGGTAAGCTTCATACACCGTTGGACTCTCTACGCTGTTGTTCGAGCACCTGTTTGAATGTCTGCTTTTGATTGTGTCTCAAAATCTATCCAAGTATTAGGGATAACATTTAGGAAATATGACATCAGACTGATTGTTTTGTTAATATCTACGTTCCTTTTATAATTTGCTTTGTTGTCACTTTAATAGTCATTATGTGATAATGCCTGTATATGTACTCACAGTGTTTCTGCATTTTGTTTTTGGTTGATAGTGCTACTCTTGCTGCAATTGTTGAGTGCAGAGTTTGAGTTGTTGAGACGTACAACTCTTTATGTTATTTGAATTGTGACTATTTATTAATTTCACCAACAATTTTTTGAAAACTTGTATTGCCTTAAAAAGGAAAATTTAAGATTGGGTTTAATATTTGTTTTGCCTCATAAATCAGATTTCAAACTGGATTTATAACCAATTTTTCCTAAAACACTGGATTGACAAGTTGTTTGAACCAATTACCGAGTTATTACCCTGATTTGTGATAGTAGTGATCCAAGTTTGTGATGTTTCTGCTGTGCTGAAAGTTGTTTCGATCACCTGTTGTTTGTTATGAGGTACATATTACCCTGTAATTTCAACTTTTTTCGAGCTACCCTTATTCTTCTCCAATGTTTGTGTATACAGCTTTACCATTGTTCAACCTGATTCTGGTCACACAAAACTTTGTCTTTCAAGAGAAGGCATGGAGGCTATTGAGAGGATTAACAAACCCCATTGCATATGTGGCAGTAAGTTTTGGGGTGGTGCTAATCAATTTATTGATTCTTGCTTTTATAGATTTAGTGCTCCTTAAGTCAGATGATTTGATTCAGGTTTCGAATTATATATGCTGCTACAGTGCCTAGAACGTCTCCATGGCCTTGGCATTCATTTCAATTGTGCGTTTTGTTTGGCATCGGTGCTTAGTTAATTCAGAATTTGACAATATTATGAAATTTCCTTTTGGAGCGAAAGGAAAGGAAATTGGGAGTAAACTTATTAGACAGTCTTAGAGATTCTTTCTGGTGAGTAACCTTTTATCTTTTTCTTAAAACTCTGTATATGAAAGTGAAAAATGTCTATTATAAGATGAAGTTTTCAATCAAATGATTATAAACATATAATAAGTTATTCTTTTAATATATCTATATGTACTGATTAATACAAATGTTTTAGGGAAGGAGATGCACCCTTACCCCAAATTTGTTCATGTTCAAATCAAACAAGTTCTTGCATATTTACTACACTTTTGTAGACATTTGTCATTTAACTTATTATATCCTTGAAAAAAAATTGTTTCGTTCAGAGTGTGACATTGTCTACCTTCTTTTCTATTATTAATAGTTGATTCTTTACTTAGTTATTTATAAATATTTACCTTTACGTTAAACCCCTTACAGTCTGAATTCATGGATTTGTTTAGTTTGCTATGAAATAATGGAGTTCTTGTGCAATAGCATGAGTAGTTTGGATAACCCACAAGAAACTGTCTGTAGTCATTCTTTTGTTCTGCTTTTCTAACATAATTGGTATATATATTCTTTTTACTTCTCCCCACAATATATAGGATAGGATTTTATGCAATTAAATTGATTCTTTCTCACTCCTTTTGTACATTGTCAAGCCTGCACACGAAGAGTTGTGTGAATGGCTTTTTTTTTTTTTTTTTTAATATTCTGTTGATATCTTCCCTTGAATTATAGCATTTTTCCTGAGTTCATATCCTTGCATTTACATGTATTATATGCCATATTTTCCTGGAAAGCTTAAATTGCAGTTTATTGCATAAAACTCAAGAGTAGTTTAGAGGAATGGACTTGTAGAGTTGAATCTATGAACCAGTGGGTTGCTACTGCAAAACTAATCTTAATTAGTTTATCCATGATCATAGGCGATAGTTATATTTGTATTTCAAATGAGTGGCAGGATGGTGTAGCTTTGGTGGGGAAATAAACATGCTTTTCAGATTCCAGAAGTGCATGAAAGTTATGAAAGGTTTCAATCTCAGTGTTGAAATTAACTAGATGTTGTATGCATATTTTGCCAAACAATACGTTGTCATTAAGGCTCTTACAAAGTTATAAAAAAAATAAACTTAGTTTAATATGAGATAAACAAAGAAATTAACCATCTAATGTTTTATACCTTTTCATTTTGTTATATGTTTGTTAATTTTATCTCTACCAGTATCAAGCAGTCTGAAAGGTCGAAACTCTAGTTTAATATGAGATATTCTTCGTTACCCTCTGTTTTATGAGGGCACTGGTACACTTAGGCTGAGCAAGTAGTGCCTAATTATCAACTATGTATCTTGTTTAATTTAAATACATACAAGAAAAAAAAAATCTTGGTTCTAAATTGTCTAGTGAGAACTTGTTAGGATTGCACTTTGATGACATTGAGTCACTGATCTTTTTGTATGTAGTGGTCCTTATATGTATTCCTAATTATATGTAAATAACATGGTGTCCTATATATATAAATATGTATAGTTATCTTTCTGTAAAATGTATGAGTTAAATTAATTACTATGTTTATCTAGGTTATTCCATATTTAATTTTCTTTTATTTTTGTTATTATAACGTCTCGCTCTTTTATACATCCGATAATTACTACTAAATTAACACGAAATGAATGAGCAGAATAAACAAAATTTTTATTACTGTAATGCAACTACTGTATTTAGTAATTATGACTTAAGCATAAATTAAATTCAGTAGGGTGTTACAAAAATTACTCCCAAATGCTTTCTGTAATGCCCCCCAAAACCTTGAAGTAAACCTTGGGTCTCGATCAGAGACAATGGTTGAAGGAACCCCATGTAGCCTTATAATCTCTTGAATGTATAATTGAGCTAGTTTTTCCAAAGAGTAATTTGCTTGAATAGGTAAGAAATGAGCATGAGCAGATTTAGTTAGTCTATCCACTACAACCCATATAGCATCATACCTTGTAGGTGTCCTAGGTAAACCCATTATAAAATCCATAGAAATGCTCTCCCATTTCCACTCAGGGATTTCTAGAGGTTGTAATGTTCCAGAAGGTTTTTGGTGCTCTGCTTTTATTCTCTGGCAGATTAAACATTTATTCACAAGATGCACCACATCTAACTTCATACCCGGCCACCAAAACATTCTTTTAAGGTCTTGATACATCTTATTAATACTGAGGTGTATGGTGAACTCACTTCAGTGAGCCTCTTCTAAGATTTTCTTTCGGAGGTCATCTCCCTCTAGTACACACACCCTATCTTGGTATCGCCATATACCTTCTTTATCCTGAGTAAAGTTAGTCAACTTCCCTGATTGTACAAGATTGAGCGTGTGTTGGAAATTGGCATCCTTTTGTTGAGCTTGTTGAATTTGATCTTTAAAGTCACTGGTTATCTGCATTTGGCATAATTGGATAATAGAAGGAGTCACAGAAATTCCTAACTTAAGATCTCGAAAACCCTCTATAAGTTTTGTTTCCTTGATTGTCATTCAAGCTGTGCTTAGAAATTTTCTACTTAAGGCATCTGCTACAATGTTTGCTTTTCCCGAATGGTATTTCAATTCAAAATCATAATCTTTGAGAAGTTTCATCCATCTCCGTTGTCTCATATTTAATTCTTTCTGATCAAAGAGGTATTTCAAACTCTTATGATCAGAAAAGACTTCAAATCTGACACCATACAAGTGGTGTCTCCATATCTTTAAAGCAAACAAGATTGCTGCCAACTCCAGGTCGTGTGTTGGGTAATTCCTTTCGTGTGGTTTTAATTGCCTGGAAGCATATGCGACCACATTCTTATTTTGCATCAGTACGCATCCTAGTCCTTGTTTGGAGGCATCACAGTAGACTTCAAACGGTCCTTGAGGATCTGGCAAAGTTAACAACGAAAAAGTTAACACTAGAGTCATTGTTAACTTTCTCTTCAATGCTTGAAAGCTCTCCTCACACTCTGGTTTCCACTCAAATAGAGATTTTTCCTGGTTAACTTTGTCAAAGGCAGAGCCACTTGAGAGAAATCTTTTTACAAACCGTCGATAATATCCAGCTAAACCTAGAAAACTTTTGACTTTAGTGACTGTGGTTGGCCTTTCCTAACTTAGTACGGCTTCTATTTTGCTGGGGTCCACAGAAACTCCTCCTTGGGATACTACGTGTCCAAGAACTTCACTTCAGCTATCCAAAACTCACACTTAGATAGCTTAGCATAAACTTTCTTTTCTCTTAGAGTCTGTAGAATCATTCTCAAATGCTCTTTATGCTCCTGTTTTGTCTTCGAATAAACAATCATGTCATCAATAAACACCACCAGAAATTTATCAAGATATGGTCAAAATATTCTATTCATATAATCCATGAATATTGCTAGTGCATTTGTCAACCCAAAGGACATCACAATGTATTCATAATGTCCATAACAGGTTTGAAATGTTGTCTTGGGAATATCTTGCTCCCAGACTCAGATTTGATGATATCCAGAACGTAGGTCAATCTTGGAAAATACCATCACCCCTTGCAACTGATCCATGAGGTCATCAATTCTTGGTAATGGATATTTATTCTTAATTGTCATCTTGTTCAACTGTATAATCTACACATAGCCACATACCTCCATCCTTCTTTTTGACTAACAGAACTGGAGCTCCCCATGGTGATGCACTCGATCATATAAATCCTTTTTCCAAGAGTTCTTCAATCTGCTTCTTAAGTTCTGCTAATTCTAAAGGTAACATCCTATATGAAGCTATAGATATTGGCCCTGTCCCTAACACCAATTCAATGGTGAACTGATCCATGAGGAAATTTGGGAATATCCTCAAGGAATACAGGTATTCCTTGACAACTGGAATATCTTCCATTTTCTGATTAACTTCTGTCACACTGGTTGACAGAAGAAGGAAACCTTGGCTTTCTAGTCCGCAATGATTTATAGTTATGGAGTTCAAATAGTGGTTTACTAAGTTTTGAGATTTAGGAAGTGAAACAGAGGAAAATATTACAGTCTTATCAGAACAATTGAGCATGACACGATTAGCAAAAAGCCAATCCATGCCCAAGATTATATGAAATCAAGACAGAGGAAGACAAATCAAATTGGCTAAAAAGGTTCTATCCTTAATTTGAAGAAGAACATTCATACAGATCTGACTAGTTTTAACAGGTTTGTTGGTTGGAGTAGAGACCAACAAATCGTATGATAACTCAGAAATTGGAATTTGCAAAATAGACACACAATTACCTGAAATAAATGAGTGTGAAGCACCTGAATCATAAAGTACAATTAGAATCTCACCATTCACTTCACATGTATCTCGAATTAATCCCTCAAAGTTTTCAACTTCATGTGCATTCATGGTGAAAACTCGCCCTTGACATTGAGGTCTAGAGTTTTGTTGCGGATTCCTGGTTGGACATTTGTAGATCTTGTGGCCAGGTTTGCCACATCCAAAGAAAACATTTTGACCTACTAGGCATGGGCGGTTGCCATGATTCTTGCCGCACTGATTACAAATCTGGTTCCCAAAAGGCTTCTGAGGTTGTTTGCCTTTATTACCAGTAGGCTAGAACTTCCTCTGTTGTTGAAAGTTAGGCTTGAACCTTGGGGTTTGCGTAGACAATCCCTTCTTAAAATTACTACTGGTTGACCTAACAGCAACCAACTTCTTATTATAGTCTTCCACTAATCGACACTTATTAACTAAGGTAGGAAAATCTCTTATCTCCATTGGCCCTATGGTGGTAAGAATATCCTCTTGCAGTCTACCTTCAAACTTCACGCACTTCCAAACCTCATTGGGGTTCTTTTGATAGATTGTGGAAAACTTACACAACTCCTCAAATTTAGCGATATACTCCGATATACTACTGTTTTCCTGATGGAGTTGCATAAATTCTAGTTCCTTGGCATTACGGACAGAAGCACGAAAATACTTCTGATAGAACGAATCTCTAAATACATCCCAAGTGATTTCAGTTTGGGATTCTTCTAATAATCGTCGTACACCATTCCACCAAAATTTCGCGTCTGTTTCCAACATGTAGGTGGCAAAGGCCCCTTTGCCACCTTCTGACGATCTGTATAATCTAAAACATAAAATACTTTTTCCATGGCTTTAATCCACTCATCTGCCTTATCAGGATCAAAGGCTCCTCTAAAGTTAGGCGGGTTAGCTTTTCTAAATTCTGCAAATTTAAGATACTCTAGATCCATTATAGGACCATTTGGATTCCCTCCGTGACCAGCCTCAAGCTATCTTCCCAATTGGACCATCATTTGAGTTGCTACAGCCGCTTGTTCTCGCATGGCATGCGCAATATCTTGCATCGTATTCATAAAATCAATCTAGTCCTCTTGATCAGGTACAATTCGTGGTCTACCTCGTTGTTAAGTTCTGAACACACAAAACAAAAGTCATTGAGTTGATCAGGCTTAACACTAAGTTTAGTGTGCTTGTAAATAATAGCTCACATGGACAGACACCTCTTACAAATGCACCTCTAGAATTTAACCATTATCCAGTGCATTATATCTAAAAGTTAAAGAATATATATGGAGCATAGTCAGTCCAATCCTCAGGCCCTTGCTACGATAAACTGCTCTGATACCAAATTTTTGTAACACCCTACCAAATTTAGTTTATGCTTAAGTCATAATTACTAAATACAGTAGTTGCATTATAGTAATAATTTTTTTTTATTCCACTCATTCATTTCATGTTGATTTAGTAGTAATTATCGGATATATAAAAGAGCGAGACGTTATAATAACAAAAATAAAAGAAAATTAAATATGAAATAACCTAGATAAACATAGTAATTAATTTAACTCATACATTTTACAGAAAGATAACTATACATATTTATATATATAGGACACCATGTTATTTACATATAATCAGGAATACATATAAGGACCACTATATACAAAAAGATCAGTGGCTTAATGTCATCAAAGTGCTGTCCTAACAAGTTCTCACCGGACAATTTAGAACCAACGTTAGTGTCCTACAACTACTATCGTGGCCCACTGCACATCCGGGAACTCAATATAGATCATTGTTGTTGCATTCATCATGCAGATCTGAGAATGAAACGGAAACTAAGTAGGATGAGAATTTTGAAAATTCTTAGTAGGGTTGTGTATTTCTATGTGACATCGCTTTCATTCTCAGTTGCTTCGATTTTTATTTAAATAAAAGGTTGTTAAACCAATAAGAAAATTTTTCAATTATGATTATTGAAAACATAGCCCAAAGCAAAGTAAATTTTATGTCTAACAGTTGTAATACACAAGATCATAATGATTATGATACACATATACAAGAAATTAAATAAATAATTAAAGGATTCAACATGAATCATACATGTGACATAACAGTACTTAAAGTTGTAATTGAAAGCAACATTGAAATGCATTAATATTAATTAAAATACTTTCAATCACATAATAAGGTACTTAATTCTTATATATGTTCATATCCTTGGTCCCCTGGAAGTTCTTGGCCATAAGACTCTTGGATAATAGTCTGCTTATTAGGATCGAGCTTGTTCCTATACAGGATTTGTCAGGTTTACTTTTCCCAATGCTCCCACCGACTTATTCCCCTTAACTATTTATCCGCGCTGGCCCAAGTGATATAGGACTTTCTTATAACTTTCAATCATCTTAAACTTTCATAACTTTTATATTGTATCACACATATCTCTTTAAAATTTTACAATTTATCCATAATTCTTACAAAATATGTGTAGCATAACAGATCATATTTGCTTTCCAATGAATACTGCCAACTAACAAATAATCATTCACATATCATAGCAAATAAATAAACAAAACCTTTAAATTCATAATTCTTTCCTTAAAGCAATAAATTTTGCCTTATTTTATTTTTACTACGTTTATTGCTATATGACTTCAATAGACCTGAATTTTTTATATATTGAAGGCCTATTGGTCCTATTTAGTTTTGAAAAATACAGCTCAAGATTTTTGTTTTCTACTATGACCTGTCCTGTAATTAGCCAGAACAACACTAAAAAATGTTAAAATCTACCAAAATTCGAATTCTAAGTGTATGACTGTGAAATTCATGTCATTTTAAAGTTAAGAAATCAAATTTTAATATCCAAAAAGTTTCATTTCATTTGGTTAAATAGAATTCAAGTTATAAAGTTCTAAAGTTGGTTATTAAAGTTCTAAAGTTGGTTATTATAGGTTGCTCTGTTTCTGACTCAATGGCACTAAGGGTAACTTCAGAAAAATTCTGGGAACTTCTCAAAACGAATTGGACTGTGAAATTTTTATGGTATAAACTATTATATCTTAGCTTTTCGAAAAAAAATTTCACCTCAATCCAAGTTATGTGGAACGAGTTATGCCTTACGCAAGCTTACCTGCCCAAAATTAAAATCTAAAACTTAACCCAAACTTCAAAAATTCATAACTAATTCTATACTAATCCAATTGCTTAATAATTTATATGTATAGAAAGATCTGGATGTCTAGTTTATGTTAAAAATATGTTAATAATATTTAAACCGTAAATAATTGGTCAAAATAGTATATTTGTACGGAAACTCTAGAAAATTCTGTTTTCAGACTTGCTGTTTTCTTTCTTTTCTTTATTTTTTTCTATTTGATCTACCTTCAAACTAACCCAAACCACCATTAATCCAATTATACATCATAAAAAAAAATACCACATATATTATGTATTAAAAGATGCACACACATCCATATAAGCATATTAACATAGATAGAACCTTACCTCCTTTGAGCACCAATTTGATTCCAAAAATGTTTCTAAGTTGCAAGTATAGGTGAGCTTAATAGAAAAGCTTGTGGAGGTAAGAAAAGGAGAAAGATGGAGAAGAGAATGAGGGAGAGAAGTTATCAATTTTATAAAGAGATGAGGGAAAGCAAAATATCCAAGTGGCCATGATGAATGGAGTTATTTGGCAAATTTTGATTGGTTCATAAATTTTGTGGTCTCAAATAAGCCATAAAGTGGATTATGAACCATTAGATTAAGGTGTGGGAGATGGCTTCCCCACCGTTGGATCTAGGACAAATAATATTATTTTATTATGGTAATTTAAATTACTGAAACTATACTAGTCTTTCTCCTAAGAGGAAATTTTACTATAAATTTTTAATTCTAGTCTACCTAATTAACATAGATTTGAATTCTAATAAATATTCAATTAGTATCTTATTAACCTTATTCATGTAAATTAATTAAGAAAATCAATTAATAGCATAAAACAGACATTTAAAATTTTGGACGTTACAACAAACACTTTATATATATATATATATATATATATATATATATATATGGACTAAAAATAAAAAATAAATAAAACTTTAAATTGATACTTTCACCTTATTTTGGAAACACCGTAATCCAAATCTTATAGCGTGAGATACAGTCCAATTTTATCACGTCTGCAGATGCATAATTCTTTTCTTGTTTTTGTTTGTTTTCTTTACTCAAGTTAATTCTGTCCTCCCAATTTCTAGGGTTCAAGGTATACATTAGAAACTCTAATTTTCTCTTTTAATTTGAGTGTCCCTAGTCCTAGTTAGGTCCTTTTCTCAAAGGGGTTTGACCTCATCGTTTGGTATCAAAACTAGTTAACTAGGGCTAGTTTTGAATTGAATTTAGAAATACTAGTGGCTGGTTGTGTGTGTGTGGTTTGTTTGATTTTGTGGAGCAATTGAAACAAGGAGAAAGAAAATTGCACTTGTGGAAGAGGTTGAATTTGTAGTACCAAATTGCACTCATGAGGTGTTTGCTTTAATGCTTTACTTGATGACCAAGTAGGTGTTCTTTACCATAAGTTGTGATTGTATTTGGGAACTTTGTGAGTGCAATTAAAAATTCTGTTTGTACACTGAAGTTGTTGGAATTGTGTGTTAGATTTGGATACTTGCAGAAGGGTGGAAATTGCAGTTTGTGGCTATTTTGGTAATAGAAAATTAAAAAAAATGAAAATTGTATTAAAAAAAACAAAAATTGTATTGATAAAAAAAAAAAGAGTGATTGTGTTGGTTGTTTGGGTGACTTGTAGTGTGGTTGAAATTTCTATTTGACTTTGAATTGTGTTTGCTAAATTATAGAAGATTTGAAGCTTGTTCTTAACCTTTTGAATTGAAGGACCTAAAAAGAACTAAGTCACTTAAATTCACATTCATTCCTACTTGCTCAAAAAAAATTTTCTTGTCTTTTGTTTGAAAACAAATGTCTTTAACCTCCTTGTTTAATTGTTTAGTTTTGGTTTATTGTTCTTAGTTACCTTGTGTCCTTATTCTTAATTTCTTCCCCTTGCTTGTGTTGTTCTTTCTTGTCTCAATTTTATCCAAATAATTCCTTTTTTTTCTTGTCTTTTTGTGTTTGTTAGGTAGTAGAATTGTTCTTTACTACTTCTTTGTATGGTGTCACAATCTAAATTTAGAGCCTTTCTTGATAGTCACTTTTCTCTTACTTCTTGGTAATTAATTAGAGAAGCTTGTAAGAACTCTAAGCTAGAGATTAAGTGGTAAAAGGCAAGAGAGTCACATTAGAGAAAGAGCCTAAAATTGAGTGAAAATACTAATTGTGATACACTTGTGAGGATACTTAGAAAAAAAATTCAGAATTTAACCTATGGCTAAAAATAGAGAAAGAGAGAGAACACCATCACCTCCTAAGGATCAAAGATTGTTATTTGATGCCTTGACCCAAAGGCTCACTAGATTGATGAGAGAACAAATTGAGGAGATATATGAGAGATTAGAGAATATAGAAAATTAAAATCATGAAAGAAGGGAGAGAGAAGAACATAATAGGGAAAGAAGAGAAAATGAGAGGAATGAAGGGAATGAGAGGAGAAGAGATAGAAATGAGAGAAATGAAGGGAGGAGAGAAAGAGAAAATAGGAAAGAGCGTGAGAAAAATGTGAGAGTACTTATCCCATCCTTTAAGGGGAGAAGTGACCTAGAAGCTAATATAGAGTGGGAGCTTAAGGTGGAACAAATATTTTCATGCCATAACATTAGTAATGAGAGAAAAGTAAAGTAGGCTACATTAGAGTTCACTTACTATGCTTCAGTTTGGTGGGATCAATTCCTAAAAAAGAAAATGAGGTATAGAAAGCCAATGTTGGAGAGTTGGGAAGAGTTAAAAAGAGTCCTTAAAAAGAGATATGTGCCTCAATACTACCATAGGGAACTCCATGCTAAATTACAAAGAATAACCCAAGGGAGTAGAAGTGTGGATGAATTTTATAAGGACCTAGAGATTTCCATGATTCGAGCCAATGTAAAGGAGGATATGGAGGTTGCCATGGATAGGTCCCTTAATGGCCTAAATGGAGATATTATGGATGTAGTTGAACTTCAAAATTATGTGGAGACGAAAGACTTGGTTCACCATGCTATAAAGGTTGAACAATAGTTGAAAAGAAAGAGTGTGAAGAGGACTTTCTTTAATTATGAAAAGCCTAGGTGGGAAGAGGGGTATAAGAAGGAGGGAACTTCATCTAGACCAAACATGCCTATACTCCAACATAGCCATAACAAAGGAAAAGAAGTTGTGAATAAAGTTAGGACAAGGGACATCAAGTGTTTAGGAAGAGAATATATAGCTTCTAATTGCCTTACAAAAAAAGTCATGGTCCTAAAAGAAAGTGGTGAAATAGTTAGTGAATCATCCTAATTGAAATACTCTAGTGAGGAAGTGAGTGAAAAAGATGATGAGGAAGTACCTGAGGAAGACCTTTTCATAATTAGAAGAATGTTTGGGGGAGTTGCAAAGGAAAATGAGGAGAGTCAAAGAGAAAATATTTTTCACACTAGATGTAAAATTCAAGGAAACATATGTTCCTTGATCATAGATAGGGGAAGTTGCACTAATGTGGTTAGTACTAGGCTAGTCACCAAGATGAATTTGAAAATCACACCCCACTCTAAACCTTTTAAGTTGCAATGGTTGAGTAAGAGGGAGAGTTGAAAGTAGATAAGCAAGTTGAGATAGAATTCACAATTACGAAGTATACAGACAAGGTGTTGTGTGATGTTGTACCCATGGAAGTAAGTCATGTGCTTCTTGATAGGCCTTGGCAATATGACTGAGAAACACATAATGATAGAAAAACTAATAAATACTCATTTGAGTTCAAGAAAAGAAAGGTGACTTTGACTTCTTTATCACCTAGAAAGGTAAGTAAAGATCAAATCATTATGAGAAAGAAAAGAACTCGAAATGAAAAGAAAAAGAAAAAGAGAGAAAAAGTTCAAAAACAAAGGAGAAAAAGAGTGGAAAAAGAGAGGAGAAAGTGCAAAATCTGTTTGTGAGATAAAAAGAAGTGAAAAAGGCTATATTAATGAAAAAGTTAATGCTTCTACTTTTAAGTAAAGAAAACACCTTTTTCATAACAGATGCTACTAACCCACTTCCTAGGGAAGTTTCTTCTTTAGTGCAGGAATTTACAGATGTATTCGCTAAAGAGGTGCCTCATGATTTACCACCTTTGAAAGGGATAGCGCATCAGATTGACCTTATTTCAAGAGCTTCTTTACCCAATAGACCACCATACCGAAGTAATCCTCAAGATACTTAAGCCCATGTGCAACGCCAGTCTTGCTTGTGCCAAAGATAAATAGAACGTGGAGGATGTGCACCGATTGCAGAACCATTAATAACATTACGGTAAAATATAGACATCTCATCCCTAGACTAGATGATTTGTTGGATGAATTGCATAGTGTTTGTATATTTTCTAAAATTGATTTTAAGAGTGGGTACCATCAAATAAGAATCCGGGAGGGGGATAAATGGAAAACTGCATTCAAAATCAAGTATGGGTTCTATGAATGGTTGGTCATGCCATTTGGCTTGACAAATGCTCATAGTACTTTCATGAGATTAATGAACCATGTGTTGAGAAAGTTTCTAGGAAAGTGTGTAGTTGTGTATTTTGATGATATTTTGATTTATAGTAAAACTTATTCTGATCATCTTGTACATTTGAGGAGTGTTTTAGAAACACTTAGAAGAGAAAAACTATATACAAATATGAAAAAATGTGTTTTTTGTACATATCATGTTGTTTTTCTTAGTTTTGTTATTAGTTCTCAAGGTGTACAGATTGACCAAGAGAAGGTGAACGTCATTTAACAGTGGCCAACTCCTCAGAATATTAATGAGATAAGAAGTTTTTATGGTTTGGCAAGTTTTTATAGAAGATTTGTGAAAGACTTTAGTACCTTAACTACACCTTTGAATGAGATAATTAAAAAGCATGTAGGGTTTAGTTGGGGTGAGAAGCAAGAAAAGGCTTTCATTGTTTTTAAGGAAAAATTAACTCATGCACATATTCTTGCATTGCCTGATTTTTCTAAATCTTTTGAAATAAAGTGTGATGTATCTAGAGTAGGGATAGGAGCTGTGTTAATGCAAGGAGGACATCCAATAGCTTATTTTAGTGAAAAACTGAATGGAGCTATTTTGAATTACCCTACTTGGCAACATTACCTTTTGCCTAAAGAATTTATGATATATGGTGATCATGAATCTTTGAAGTACCTAAAAAGGCAAGGTAAGTTGAACAAAAGACATGTCAAATAGATGGAATTTCTAGAGCAATTTCCTTATGTGATCTAAGAAGGGTAAGTATAATATTGTGGCTAATGCTTTGTCATGTAGGTATGTACTTCTTTTTACCCTTGAGACTAAATTTTTAGGATTTGAACACATTAAGAAATTGTATGAACATGATGTTAATTTTTCTCATATTTTTAAGATATGTTCACATGCTACCCATGATAGTTATTTTAAACATTATGGTTATTTGTTTAAAAATAAGAGACTTTGTGTACCTCAATTTTCAATAAGAAATGTATTAGTTCAAGAGACACATGAAGGGGGACTAATGGGGCATTTTGGGGTTCAAAAAACCTTAGACATATTGCATGAACATTTTCATTGGCCTCATATGAAACGTGATGTGCATAAACTGTGTGAGAGGTGCATTGTGTGTAAGAAAGCTAAGTCTAAAGTCATGCCGCATGGTTTGTATACTACTTTACCTATTGGATTGACATTTCTAGGGATTTTGTGCTAGGTTTGCCTCGATCCAAGGGAGGGAAAGACTCTATTTTTGTGGTTATGGAAAAGTTCTCTAAAATGGCACATTTCATAGCTTGCAAGAAGGTGGATGATGCATGTCATGTTGCTGACCTATTTTTCAAAGAAGTGGTGAGACTTCATGGGTTGCCTAGAAACATAGTGAGTGACAGGGAAGTCACTTTTGAAAAACATTATGGGGTAAATTGGGCACTAAACTATTATTTTTCACTACTTGCCATCTACAAACTGATGGACAAACTGAAGTAGTAAATAGGACTCTTTCTACTTTACTTAGAACTATTATAAAGAAAAATATTAAATCTTGAGCGGAATGTTTGACTCATAGAATTTGCATATAATAGAGCTGTTCATAGTACTATTAATTGTTCTCCTTTTAAGGTAGTACGTGGTTTTAATCCTTTAAAACCTCTTGATTTGTTACCTGTACCTAACATTTATGAATTTAAGCATAAGGATGCACATGCAAAGGCTAAATATGTGAAATAGGTGCATGAAAAGGTAAAAACTCAAATTGAAAAGAAGATTGAGAGTTACACTAGACATGCAAATAAAGGAAGAAAAAAAGTGACATTTGAGCCCGCGACTGGGTATAGGTTCACTTTAGGAAGGAAAGATTTCCATCACAAAGAAAGTCAAAATTGATACCTATAATCCTTTCAAGTGCTGGCCAAAATCAATGATAATGCTTATAAAGTTGATCTACCAGATGAGTATAGTGTGAGTGCTACCTTTAATGTGGCTGACTTGTTTTTGTTTGATGCAGGTAATGAAGAATTCACATATTTGAGGATAAATGCTTGCCAAGAAAGAGGGAATGATAAGGACATCCAAGCCCAAGTCGAAGCTCAAGTCTAGGCCTAGGTCCATAGAAGAACTCATGCACCAAGAAAAGCCCAAGATCCACTTGAAGACTTAAGTGGGCCAATGACAAAGTCAAGAGTTAAGAAAGCCCAAGAAGCATTAGTACATAAAATACATCTTGTGTTGAAAGTCTAACATCAATTTGAAGCTCATGATATCAAAGAAGATACATCCATGGTGTTGAAGCCCATTACTTGTCTTGTTCTTGTTAATTTTAAAGGACATAAGCTCAATGACTCAATTTGAAATTTTATTTATTTTTCTTTCTTTTTAGTCCATGATTAATATATATATATATATAAAGTGTTTGTAGCAAGACTTGAACCTAAGTACTTGTGGCTAAGTGTAATCCTAAATTAAGCCTAATTCAAAAGTAACATTATATAACAAGATGGATTCAACCTCCATCCATTTGTATCAATTTGCTGAAATTTTCAGGCACACCAGCAACATATTAGCAATGCATCATGCACATCCAACCTGAATTCAGTACATTTATTTTTTTGTCAAAACACTGCATTCAGAATTTGAAATAACGTAATGGGTTTTCAAATACTAGTTTGGAATTAGGTATCAACATTTGTAATTTTTAGTAATGAAATTGGCTCTTGTATTGGTGTACAACATAATTTGTTTATGCAACAGCAATTCTACCATGACCATTAACATGGATGGAGATAAGCAAGCAGAAAACCAGGTGAGGACTCAATTCAATGCAGTAGAAAATTGTGGGATTTGTTTTTTCTTTTTCCAAGAGAGAGAGAGATTGTCTTATGCGAAATACTATAGTACTATTGCAGTAATACTATTAAAAAAATGAGACCATTTATTGTCATTACTATTTTTATTAATATGAGATCACTTCCTGCATCCATGATTTTGAAATGGCCTATATGACAAAACATGAATGGACATAATCTCTATCTGATAGTTCAAAATCAAAAGTAGTACTAGAGATGTTATCATGTGTTGGGATGTAACGTGCTAGAATTTCTCCTTATATCAGTGGCAGTACTTCTATTTCAAATTGCAATAAAAAATTTTGATTAATGTTGATAAAAGTATTGATGTCTAATGGAATTTTAGCACAAACTTTTCTTATTAGTGCTGATGTCTAATGTAACTTTTACCACTATAATTCAATTTGTTCTTATAATGATGAATTACAAGAACAACTCTTTACTTCTGACTTATGCAAATAAAAATTTATGTGTTAATCTAAAGGCTCTTAACCAGCAGCAGGTCTAGTGACAGGTCCCTAATCAAAAGTCATCTGCTCTGCCTCATGTCTAATGGAATCAAACAAAGGAGAAGACAGGTAACGCTCTCCGGCACTAGGGAACACCACCTGCAGCAACCATGATGATAAGGAGATTGATTAATGATGATTTCTCATACATGTATGACTCTACATGCATGTTTGGAAATGCTTAAACTTACAGAAAATTAGAAATAATTGCTCATTTTTTTAAAAGCTCTCTAAGAAAGCCGGCAAAAATAAGTGATTATTTCTTCAAAATAAATTAAACCAATCACACACTATTTCAATGTATCTGTCTACCAGTGACATGACTATTTATCACCACATCAATGCACATGAGACTTCAACTATTTTCTGTGGCATTATAAACATACAGTGTGTTTTGTGTTTTGTGTTTTGCTAAACAAGAATTTTTATTGATGACATGAAGTTGTAGGTGTATTTTTATTGAATGCTAAACAGAATATCATAATTATGAATACATCAATGCAGAACTCTTATGGATATGTAGATAGGTAGGTAGGCCTACAACAATGAGTTTCCCAGTATTTTCTGGCCTCTTTCCTAATTTTATTGCTGCTGCAGCTGCGGCTCCAGATGAAATACCTACCTGTAACAAGGGAAAACAAATTACCCAGTCAGCATAAACAAATAGATCAAGTTGAGTAACATTGAAGTTGCACAGTTATGCACATAATGACCAAAAGAAAAAGATAACATGGAGACTTAAATTTCAAAAGAAAGGGATAATAATTAACCGTGATCATACCAGTAGACCTTCTTTCAGGGCTAACTGCTTGGCTGTTTCTATAGCTTCCTCGCTTGATACCTGAAAAAAAAAATCAACAGAAGATAGAAATTCAAGAGCCAAAATCATAATGTGCCAGAAAAGTATTTGCGAGTTTATGATAAATGTATCATAAGGATCTGTAACCATCATTTGAACATGTAAATGATGGAATCAAATATGCAAATTATGTATTTAAATCTCATCTACACTTGAGAAAGGGATAAAAAAAGAATGCGAAGGTTTGATTGATTTGCACTCACAGCCCATTTATATATATATATATATATATATATATATAAAATAAATACAAGAACAGTAAAGAGGAATTAAACTATTTCCTTATGATCACTAATTTCCATTTCTTCATTAATGCAACACGTACTATAACACAATCAGCACAAACAGTTCAGACTTCAGAACCTCCATAATCAATATCAAACCTCGCACAGCAGTCACCCTCAGGCTAGTGAATGGATATCGAACATTTCCTATCTTGCAAGTGAGGTTCTGAAACTTCTAATCCCTTCTGTTAATACATCCTCTAATAGAAGTTATCAGGGTACCAATGTAGTAGTAATCAAACTGCTATCTAACTTCTGTTTTATGAAATACAAATTCCTTGAAACTCAGCCTGTGATCCAAATGTATTGTTTCTTACTCCTTCAAGTTACTAAGTTCCAACACCATGAAACTACAGCTACCAGAGGTTGAATTCATTTAGTCCTATCTATAACAGTATAACTGACAGTGACCCAGCATAATCAGCATTGATGTATACTTCCATGGATAAAATATCTACCCTTTTTGAAAAGCATTCCTCTTTCAGGTATAGCTTCGAGATATTGTAAAATTCAATGTGTGCTCCAGCTGCACTGCATTCTAAATTTCCGTTTCTTTATGTAAATAAAAAATATCTTTCCCTTATGACATAAAGATGCCTTGTTTAGAATAATCAACTTCAATGCCAAGGGTTAAGAATTTCTGTAGGACCCCAAACATCTGAATAAGAAAAAAGGGTTAGACACATTTTACTGAGCAAGGACGAAAGGTTTCCCAGTGATGATTTGCAAATTTACAAACATCAAAACGAAAAGAATCACAGCATTCATAAAACAAATATCACCTAGACACCTACACTATATTACACAACTTTCAACAGTATAGTAGTGCTAAAAAATCTTGATATATCTATTTTGAAAGTAACCTGAATAATTTCATCAAGCAGATTAACATCCAGCACAGCAGGAACAATTCCAGCACCAATTCCCTGAATCAGGTGCTTGCCTTTTACATATACATGCAACATTTCCAGTTTAGTATATTGCCATTCAGATGTCAGTCTGAAAGTAAAATACTGAGTGACTTTATGCTAAAAAAAGTAGGAAAAAAATGCCAAATGAAATTCATATAAGCAGTTCAAGTTAATAGGGGAAAACAAAACAATAAATGGCTTAAAAATTAACCATAATTGAAAAATAATAATTTTTAGTTTTGATAGATGCAATGAACCCGATATCACATCCCTCTCTATGGTTGTTACCAAAAGAATTTTAGGAAATAGAAAGTCAGTGGCAGTAGGCATTAGTGCGTTAACCTCATTTTTCACATCCATTGTGAACTTGATAAAGGAAGCTTTGCATTTATCAAAAAGAGGGGAGGGGGAGAATTAGTCAATTGCACTGTTTGGTTGTGTGTTCTAGCAATAGTAACTAAGATACTGTCTTGCTATTTGAAAGAGCAATTGAAAAGCAGACATAAAAAGTCAGGATGAGAGTAAAATCTAAGTGACAAGCAGGAAAATTTTGATAATTTCAAGAGACAGAGTTCAAAGTTCTGCTGAAGAATGATTGCTTACCTGGCTCTCCTCCACTCAAGACTGCACTTTCAGATGGTTCCACTCCATGGACCTTGACAAAAACACTTAACATTAGCATCTAAGTTAATTACAAGCATTTATACTCTCTAGTCTCTCCCCTCCACAGGCATGTGGCACACAAAAAGGAACCTTTATTTCCGGGTTTCTCTCCTTGAGGAATTTCCCTGCACCTGTTATTGTACCCCCAGTTCCTATACCTGCTACAAGTGCATCAACTTTCCCTCCAGAATCTCTCCATATCTCAGGGCCAGTGGTTTCATAGTGAATCTACAAAAATGCAACAAAATTGTCATCAAAACATCACCTTACTACATCACAATGCTCAAGATAACTTACCTTTGGGTTTGCAGGATTTTCAAATTGATGAGGCATGAAAGCATCAGGGGTCTCCCTCAGTAGTTCCTCAGCCTTTTGAAAACTACCTTTGAAGCCCTTAACAGGATCAGTGAGATGCAACTCAGCTCCCAACGCGGAGAGCACAATTCTCCTCTCAAGACTCATTGAAGCTGGCATTGCTAGGATTAGCCTGTAACCTTTAAGTGCTGCAATGAATGCCAACCCAATTCCAGTGTTTCCACTAGTAGTCTCAACAAGGACAGTCTTAACCATGTTCAAAACCGTAGAAAGATGAAAAACATAATGTCACATTTAATAAACACCCAAACAATCAGAACTTGAAAACACAGGGTCCATTTGAATAAACATGATTTCTTTAATGGGGGAAAAAGGGTAAATTAACAAATTGTATCATTCATATACAAAATCACTGGTGCCTCAAGACAAGAGTTCTATTACCAACCTTCCCTGGTGTAATGAGACCCTTGTCCTCAGCATCCTTGATCATACTCCATGCTATCCTGTATTCCAAATAACAGTTAGAATTTCTTCTTTCTTACATATATAGTCCTAATGTTAGTAAGGTAAACCAAAAGAACAGTGTATCCACCTCGTTAGCATTTCACATAAAACACGAATAAAAATCACTGCACCCATGAAAAGAAAATTCACTTCAGTAACATCTATTCCTATTTTACAATGATGTTACAGGAAAATTTCAGACACGTCAAATATCAGAAAAGAAACAATGTCTCAATGTTTATGACAAATTAAAACAGTAAACTCTTTTACACTACACCTGTCTTTGACACTTGAGCAGGGTTCCATTGATTCCAACTTGGCAGCAATGCGGGCCACACAACCTTCCACAACTTTGTTTAGATACATCATTGGAGTGTTTCCAATTAGCTACACAAAGCAAGAAAAAGGTGTATCATTTATTTCTAACTGCCAAATAACCATAACCAAAAGAGGGGACAAGAAACGAAAAAAGGAAAATTACTTCAGTGACATCTTTTTTTATTGCACACTGCATTTCCATGTTACCTTGGTAGCACCTGAACACCTTGTAGCACAAATAAAGCTCGTGTAAAAATTAAAGGGAAAAACATTGTTACCATTTTATAAGGGTATTGTAATGAAACAAAAGTTAACAATTCAAGTAATACAATAACAATAGTGATGGCACACAAAGGATTGTGAGAATGAATCCGAGTCTGAAACCAAAAAAAGAAATGAAAGAGAAAAACAAGTTTTGTGTCAGTTCAGCAGAATCAATATGAATAAGTTGGTGTATTGAACATTAAATGTATATGCTGCTACTTACAAGATCCAGTGCAGGAGCTTCGTTCCTTCTTTGCTAGATATAGAACCTCGTTGACTGTACTTAATAGTACTCAGCTCAGATATCCCAAAGTTAATGCACACTTGTCTTTACCAACTTGTTTTTTATTATTTTTATTTTTATTCATTTTTATATTAAATAGTGTTAATTTACTTTAGGTGCTTATTTGAAACTAAACTTTATTTAACCGGATAAAAAATTCGGGTCATAGGAACTATAATTTGTAAATGTAATTTATAGTCATTAATTTAGAATAATTATTACTCTCTTCGATACTTTTTATAAGGAATAAAATAAGTATTTTTTAGCCTTAAATATAAAATATAAAAATAAATTTAAAATGTATTAATTAATAATTTTTTTCTATTTTTTGTTTATTAGTGTCATTAAATTAAAAACTTCCAACTACATCATTTAATGTCAAATGTAATTTTAGAATAAAATTTACATTTATAAAAAATATAATTATTTTAATTATTTTTTTATTCTAGTAATTTAGTCTTTTAATTTTTTATAAAAATTATTTAAAAAATTATTTAATTATTTGTAATTATTTAGTAATAAAATAACTTTTTATATGAGGTAAAAATTAAATGAGTGTTAATAATAACCTATTTAAATCTCTTATATTTGAATTTAAAATTTGAAATTTTAATTAATTTAAAACATTTTTGTCTTTGTTTATCTAAAATTTTCTTAACAAATTCAAGTTAATTTTTTTATCAGATTCATATGTTCGAATCTAATTTTAAAGTTTGAATTAAAAAGTTTAAAAAAACTTTTCTAATTTCATTGAATAAAACTTAATTCACAAAATAACATTGTTTTACCACCTCTTTCTGATTGAATCAACTATATTATTTTAACACATAAATTAGTTGTTTATATACAAACACTAAATTATATTGTAGTTGGTGTATATGTGGAGAAATAGGCACAAACGCATTACAGTATATCCTAAAACTTTATTTTTTTCATCTACATTGTGTGTTTTTCTTCCAATCTTTGAGACATATTTGCTTCTTCCTCTTAAATCTAATACACTCTCAAGCTTGTCAAACTTGCACTCCCTCAAGGTAGTTGAAAATTATTTCTTTTCACTTAACCCATTCTCTAAAAGTCACGTACTCTTAGACTCCCTCTCCCAAGCTAGTGATAATGCTTCGATAGTGAAAGTTGAGCTCCCACTATTTGTCGTTGAGTCATTGAAGCTCTCAGTCATTGATTAAATACTAACATATTTAATATAAATTAGCATAGCTATAGTGATGAAAGTTGTGGTAATTTAAAAATCTCTAAAAGTGTTGAGATCTATCAACAATCAAAGAAGCACCACAAGAAGAAATTTGAGAAGGTTTGCATTGAAAATAGCAAAAAGAAATCTAGGAATGTTTGTATTGAACAAAACAAGAAGAAATCTAGCAATAGGTGTAATGTCCTGAATTTTGGTAATATTAATTATTATTATTATTATTATTATTATTATTATATATATATATATATATATATATATGTAGATGGGTGTATGCATGACTGGTTGGACTGAAATAGGCTAAGCGCCTAAGTATAAGGCAAGATACTGGGTTGTTCTCGCTACAGCGAGGATCTCGCTGTAGCGAGAGGATTCTCGCTGTAACGAGAGGGTCCTGTGAGGAAGGACTGAAACTGTCACTTTTTCGCTATAGTGAGAGACGTCTCGCTATAGCGAGAAAGTAACAGTTTGGGGTGCATTTCTAGGTGCAGTCTCGTTGTAGCGAGAGTCTGCAAAAACCAGAGTGCAATTTTCTCTAGTTTTTTCGCTGTAACGAGAGGACGTATTGCTACAATGAAGTCTCGTTGTAGCGAGAGTGTCGTGACCATAAAAGGATTTAAAGGGGGTTAGGGTTCGGGGAGAGTTATTTCTCCCTCTCCCTTCAATTCTCTCATTCCCCAAAGCCCTATTCCACCGATTAATTGCCTCCAAGCCGTTTGGGAGCTTGATTTAAGGTTAAATTCGTGTGGAGGACACTTGGAGGTGAGTTTTAATGGTTAAGGTTTCGATTTTTCATCCCCTTTCTCTGTTTTCATAGTTTCTTTGGGTTCTCATGGAGTTTCTCCATGTGTTTAGGACGAAATTCGTGAGGAGAAACACTTCTTGGTGGATTTAGCGTGTGAGTCTTCAATCCAAGGTAAGGAGGGACTCTACCATACTCTTTTTATGTGTAATTGATTGAATATGGAGTTGTGGTTGAGTTAGAAGGTAGAAAATACGTAGAGAATGAAAATTGATTGAGAATTGTGAATTATATGCTAGATGTTGCATGATAGAATGAATATTGTGTACAAATGTGGACTGGACAACCGTGTAACATAAATGAATGTGGGCCTAGTGTCGTGTATTTGAATACAATGTAGGCTGTGTGCCGTTTGTAAGCATAATTATTGCATGCGTGAATGAAATATATGTGTGAATGGGCATGTTAGCGCTGTTGTAATATGCTGTGAATGGTTCAGCGATATACTGGGGGTGTGGAAGATGAGGACAGTAGAAATACCTTGGGGAAGAGGCAGTGGTGGTGACATCGACTGTGGAACGGGTGCACCACGGGCCACACACTCTCTTCCTGACTAGACCTCTGACCATTACCTTTGCTGAGCGACCCGTGACTACCCACGTGGTATCCGTGAGGCGGGGGTAACCGGCGACCATTCATGCTATAAATCTGTCATCACAGTGCTATAGTAAGTGTAGCTGGTGTGCGTATGCATGGATTTGTGTTTTGTACTTATGGATGTGAAATGTTGCCTGTGATTGTGTTTGTTTAAGGTATTGGAAATGTGCTGGAGGTGAGACTCTATATTTGATTGTGTTTTGGTAGCGTAGAGTACTCACCCTTACATTCATTTTTCAAGTAACCAAGACGATTAGCACCAGATTCAGTAAAAGGAGTGGATGGAACTGCTATAAAACTAGGATATAAATTTGAAAATAATGTATTTAAAAAAGGTCCTGTAGTAGTGCTTGATGAAAATTGTAACCCTTTTTTCTTATTTTGAATTATTTGATGAAACGTTAAGAACTTTATTTGAAATGAAACTTTTATTATCCCGAAATTGTGAAATTATTATTTAATGAATATTGAAAATAAGGTGTTACAATGGGTGTATTCATCAAACTTTTTTCCTTTATCATTTATAGTGAGGTTATATGGTTGATGGTTTAATTAAAAATTTGGAATGCATATGTAGAAGTTGTATTCCATAGTCAATGTTTTATTGATGGGTGTATTCGTCAAACTTTTTTCCTTTATCATTTATAGTGAGGTTATATGGTTGATGGTTTAATTAAAAATTTGGAATGCATATGTAGAAGTTGTATTCCATAGTCAATGTTTTATTGAATCATTTATAAACATTTGAAAGATATTGACATAAGAGCAATGAAACGCAGTCATACAAATGGGATTTGGAGTATTTCTCCATGTGAAATGTATAAACTTGATAGGAGGATGTACTTAAAACTAGTCAAGTGTTTAGATTTATGTTAACTCTACATATATGTTAAGGGAGAGGAGATTTGACTCAGCTATCACGATGTAGGCAAAGTTTTTGGCCTACTATAAGATGGTTATCCATATTGCTCACCCTTCGACTACCTTGCACAAGTTAATTAGCATGAGACCCATTAGTATATTTGTCAAGTTTAAAGGAATGTTTCTATTTCATGTCATGATTCCACTTTATTTCATGACTTTTATGAATATTCTTAAGTATTAGTTGCTAATCATTTTTTTATTTACAAATAAAAATTCTAATATTTTGGACAAAATAAGATTGGACATCTCAAAATGTACCATAACAAATCAAATGGTAATGTTGAGGGAATTCAATGGAATAATAGATATCTACCTAAGCTAGATTATTGGCCAAGCCAAAGTCGATGACTAGTTTAGAAATACATTTATCTTGTATTTGTTGTTGTGTTTCTTGTGCCTAACCTTAAATATGGCACCTTGTGTAAAACTCTTGGGATTTATCATTCATATACACAATGTAAAAAAGTAAAATTAGAGCCTATTTTTTTTTTCAAGTAGCTGGTAAGACACTTAAAATCACAATAGATTAGACAATATAAGAGTAAGATGTCAAGATAGGAGGTTACATCTTCTTATTCAAGGTACGATAGCTTATTGGCTATAATTTAGCAATAGCTAGTTGTGTAATTATTTTATAAATACTTAATTCATTGGATAAATTTTCCTTTCTATTATGCTTTAAATTTTAAATTTGATGTTGGTACATACTTTATATTTCTGTAGTCATCCACTTAACATTACTTTATCAAACAAAAAATGTTAATTGGTTAAATATTGGGACAATGACATGCTAAACAAGTGGATTTGGGAAAAGAAGAATAATGTGTTAGTAAATTGCAATAATCTAATATGAAGATGTTGATTGGTATTTATAGACTTAAGTTAACTTTCAATATATTACTTTAAGAATAATTAAATTTGAGAATGTTTGATATGAATACTTAATCTATTTGTAATTCATGATAAACAAATTCTTTGATAAGGTCTAATGTATCACTTTAAGGATAAAGATGATTTTGTTGACCTAGTGTGGTTGAAAAAAAAAATTAAAATCATTGTATAGTATATGTTATTTGGGTTTATAGGAAAAGCAAAAAAAGAGAAAGGGATTATTTTATTAACTAGAAACATAAACATACATAACACAAGAGTGGTAAGAGAAATTTATGGGAGATGTTATACAACAATTTTAAGGGAAGAGAGATGTATTGTGTAACTTATGATTGATAGACCCTTAACATAGGTGATTTGTTATCAAGTTTTCTTATTTTGTGATACTATTAATATGGTTTATTCGATTTGCTGTAATTGAAGTTCAATGACTTTCCATTAATCTTGAGTTTCCTTATTTGTCTAATAGGTTTTACAATTTTTGTCCAAGGAGAATTGGATACTATTAATACCTTTCCTTGAACTAGGCTGATGCTTGAAAATACACAAGAGTAGGCTTTGACATAAGTTTAGTGAAGAGGTCAACAACTTGGTCATGTGGAGAGAAGTGGTGTGTG